CCCTCTGTTTTTTTATCCAATCCGAGAATTTTTCACTTTGCTTTCTCCTGCCCCCTTAATCTGCCACTAGTGAACCCTCCTTACATCTCCTCCTTTGATTCTAATGTATAAAATAAGCTGCAAAACTGCCATTCTCCAGAGCATTTTCTTAATCTGTTGAGATTTTGCTTCCCAGCAATTGTCATCAGTTTGGCTCAAATAAACTCATTAAAATTCTCTACAGGTTTGGACATTTAAGTTGACATTAACAATCATGAACCAACTGATAAAACACTGGCTAGGTGTTGCTACATACATTAACAACTGGTACTATTCCTTGCCTCTGTGTGAAGAAAGAGTAAGGCTGTGCTAAAATATCTGTTTTGCAAGAGGCATTCTGCAAGGCTTGAGCTCTGTAGACAGTTACAGCGCTAGGGATAAGAGAGTTCTAAATCATTTGACAACAAATAATTACTGAGCACTTACTATGCTCAAGGTACAATGCTAGGCAGAGGATACAAAGACAGTATTTCATTTATAAATAGTGTGTTATGAAAGTTTTTCAGTGAGGCAGATGTTTGTAACACGAAACACACTTTCACAAACAAGCAAGCCAACAATGATAGTTAAGATACTCAGCAAGCAAATAAAGGCCTATTCGAACCTAATGAAGCTAAAATATATGTTAATTTACAGGGAATATAACAAAAATATTTTACAAAACTAGCAATGAAAGAAAAGAAGAGATCAATATAATGAAGAAATAGCTTTTATTGATTTAGTTTAAATAAATGTGCTTAATGGAAAGTGAGCTAAACATTTACTGAATCCAGACAGATCCATTACACCACTGAATTGTCAAAACAAAGCTATTAAATTGCTGCTATTATTCTAACTTTAATCTTGAGGAAGTTTAGGCTCAAGGAGGATTTAGTAACCAGTCCTAGGCTCCTTCAGCACCTTTCAGGAATGTAGCAAAGCTGTGCTCTTCCCTCTCCCCCACTTGAGACTCCAGTGTGTGTAGACTATGAGAGATTTCAGCACTCCCCACATAGACACGTGTTCAGGAAATACAAAGTGTTGTGGCGCGAATGATTCTGAGACCCAGGGAGCCAATTGAGATTAATTATGAGCCTTTATTAGCCCGGGGACTGACTCTCTACCCCCGCAGGGTTAGAGATCAGCCCCAGGGTTTGAGAGTGAGGCAGTTATAAAGCCTAGAACAAGCAAGCAGATTACAGAAGCAGAAGTTGGGTATTAGCACAATACATCACCTAGTACCACACCCTGGTTAACAAGTAAGTGGATTATAGAAGCAGACATTGGCCATCTTCATATCTTATACAATACACCTCCTAAACCACACCTAAGCAAGTAGGACAACTTCTGGTATCTAAAGATATTTCTTCCCTGTAGCTGACTTAGCTAGTTGGCTCACTTGAAAATTTTCCACCCTTAACAAAAGGATATGAACAGTATTTCGTTTGCTTCTGCAGAGAGCCCCAGGCATATCACTAGCTTAGGGGTCAATTTGTACTATTAATTTCACATTTTCAGAGCATTTATGTGACCTTGAGGTACTATTGATGCAGAACAGGGCAAATCTCCCCAAGTGGGGGTATTCAAGGTGTACACCCGCCAAGAGTGAGAGTCCTTGACTCTGCGCTGGAAAGAATTTAAGTGTGAGCCAGAGTAAGAGACAAAGAGGAAAGTTTATTAGAGAGAGAATAAAGCTTCACAGAGATGTGGTCTCTCAAAGTCAGAATGAGACCCCGTATGTTTGAGGAATTGGTTTTATATCTGTTTTCCTTTCATGGTATAAATATGCAGTGTTAAAGGCGTGGGGAAGTAGTTCCTGATCTCAGTTGTTAGTGATCTCAGGAGGAATCTTCCGCATGCTGATCAGCTAGTTCCCTGTCTAGCAGCACGTAGCAGGCTCTGAATACAACCTAGTTTAACATTGAGTCAATCTATGTAGTTCTCATGCCACTTTCTTACATTACTCTTAAATTTTAATGACAACCCCTTTTGAGGGATAAGTCCTGGGAGACTTTTTTCTTTTTACCAAGAGCATAGGTAAGGCACAGGCTTCCAAGTGCCATTTTGTGTCAGTGGGTAAATTTTGTCCTATTCGGCCTTTCACTGAAGATAAAAGGGCCTAGTGTTCTGTCCTTTAAACCCAAGTCCTGTCTTTGCCAGAGCTGTGAAAGACCTGGGTGGTCTCTCATCTAAGCCCTAAGGAATCTTACAGATCCAACAGATCAGCTGTGCTCTCAGGAGTATGTTTATCATAACATATTTACTTCTACGTGTTTGTTTTTGGAGGAGTTTGAGGTTATTTTAGCCTGCCATATTGCTAGCTCTCATCAAATATTTTTTTAGAGGTTTATTATTATTATTTTTTAAAACTCTTCCAGTAGAGAAAAATTTTATTTTAATTAATAACAACAAAAAGTGACCTTTTCAAACATGAAATAGTTTAACCCTATTAAACAAGAAAGGATGCCTTCTCCATTTACTGATTTCATTTCAATCATTTGAATTATAAAAGCAATATATATGCTCATTGAAATAATTTGCATAACACAGAAGTATTAAAAAAATTAATAAGCCTTTTCTTTCTCTTCTACCAAATAGAACACTGTTTACAATCTGATACATATCCTTCTAAGAGAGGAGAGGAGGCATCTGAAAAATGCAAAGGGAAGGGCCTACAGAAATGATCCACTCAGCCAGTTATAAATTGACCACACCCTATAGATCTCTAAATGGCCTTTTGGAAACTCTTGTCACACCTGCAAGATAAAAGACCTGTAGATAGATGAGACCAGTGTTCTGGGAATTCCTTTGTTATAACTTTCACTAGGAACTTGAAAGTGCATAGATAGACCTGTTCTTCAAGAAGTTTTTTGGGTCTCCTTGTCATTCCTCAACCTGTAGATTCTGGAGTGAGTGACTGCTTTTCATTTGCCACATCGTACCCATCTGTTTTCTTGAGATTATTCTTTTTTAAAAGTTGTGAGGGAAGAACTTGGTGCTGGTGATAAATTGGGCAGGTGTGGGGGTGGTGGTGGGATCAGAAGGTGTCAAACAGCCATAATATGAGAGAAAATAAAGCATTTTTAGGCAATTCAGGGTTAAGTGTGTTCAAGAATAAAGTCAGGGCAAGTCATCAGTATACTAGAGTGTAGGATGAAATGAAGTAGCCAGAGCAGAGAAGAGAGAGCTGCGTCAGTCAGAGAGTCCTGGGAAGGGGTTGGGGGTGGGTGCAGTCAGGAACTAACTCGTTGGAGAAGGAAATGGTCCGGCAGGGTCAGGCTGCCGCAAAAGTGCTTTCTAAAGTGCTATAAACCATTATGTGAATCTATAGAAAAGTGTTATGTGAAGGCATAGTAATGAACTATGGCATTCATTCTTTAATTTCATTTCCAAACCAAATCTCTGCTTGATGTTTCATTATTTATTATTGCTGAATAAGAAATATTAAAATATCTTCCAAAGCCATTGTCATGAATATAAGATCTTGTCTAAAATCTCTGCTTCAGCGAACTTTTAAATATTAAAAATAAGTTCCTTTGAATTAGTTACTATATACATGGCTCTTCATATAATTCACACCTTATAAACAGTATTTAAATTGAAGTAAAGTTCATTTTTATGACTATTTTGACCTATCAGTAAATTATTTTCATATTTTTTATACATTTGAGTATGTTTAGCACAATTTTTCATCTATGCTTTCTTAAAGATTTTTAAAATTATTTCTATTATTTGCTTTTGTAATTCACCTAAAACTCAGACTCAATTTAATGAATTCTATAAATCATTGGCCTAGTAGAGAAGGTTCTCGTGTTTACTGTAATTAAGTTGGGTTGCTTGTAGTTTATGGTCAGCAGCAGTTATCTCAGTTTTTGTAATGTTTTGCAACAGCCATCTGGAATAGAGCATTTTGCAGAGATCATTGGTTTTTGGCCAGGTCTCAGCTCTGCCGTCAGTAGGGTCATGGTCACTCTGCAATGTTCATTTGTGAGTTTTTCATTTAATATCATTCTGCCCCTCTTTAATATGTGTATGGGTAGGTGTGTCTGTGTGTGAGAGAGAAAGTAAGAGACAGAGAGTCTGTGTGAGTGGTGCATATTTTTTTATTTCCATGATTCTCTACTTAGTAGCAGCATATCTAGAATAGTCAAACAATTTGTTAAGAAAATTTGATTCTGGTGTATTTGAAGAGCCTGCAAAGTTAAGATATCCCTTATTATTAGAAAATTAATCATTTATCATTATGTAATCAGCAAATAGAGAACTTAGTTATAAAATTTCAGGGTTTGTAATATATGGGCTGTCAGGTAGAGTTCAAAACAGAAGCAGTTATCTCACTGCATATGTACTGAATAGGAATTTCTGTAGAGGTGAGATGCATGTATGTATGTGTAGGTGTGTTTAAATGTATATATGTATATCCACAAATATATTTCCTATTTGGCATGATTCTTCGTTTTATATATCCTTATGCAAAATGCATTACAAAGTGGTATTCTTTAAGAATAAAGAATAATAACAGGATCTTTATTCAGCCCTTTACAGAAAATTTACCAACCTCGAATCTCAACTATACTGAAAGACGGAAGCTCACTTTATTTTCCCAGTGAATAAATTTTTCAGTGAATTTTTATGGTTGTCAACTATCTCTGCATTATTATACTAGGAGATAATAATCCCTTGAGAATCTATTAGACTGCCCAAACGAATCTGAATGGAAAGATATTGGTTCAAATATATTATTGTGACCTTAATGCATAGATTATGACATGACACAACACACAGGTACCCAAGAGCCAGCATTGTCATTGAGTAGAAGGAACATTGGCCTGGGAACTCTAGTGCTGTTTTTGTCAGTAACTACTCATATTAGCTCCTAAGCAAATTTTATCATCTTTTATCACTTTCTTCACTCTAAAATACATTTTAGAGTGCATTTAAGTAGGTCTGTAATGTCTCTAACTGTTGTAATGTTTCCACAGGGTGTTACCTACTGTGGAGAGAGTTCAGCAAGCAGTCTTACTATGGCCAATGTGCCTTGGCATGAAGAAGTGGTACGCTTTGTCTGTGAATTGGTGGACCTGATCCCTGACTATGAAATTGCTTGTGAACATGAACATTCCAATTGCCTCCTGATAGCTCACAAAAAGGTAAGAAAAGTATCTCAAATAAGCATTGTTCTCCCACCCTTATCTTCTCGTTTCTTCTTTTTTCACTTAGTTTCTGCTCACTTAATCATGAATCAGCAAATTCCTGCTTATTTGCTAGCTTTCCTAAAACGAACATTAAGAAAATTCTAAATTCTGTCTGTTGGGCTCTTTTCCAAGTAAAATTAACTCTCTTTTCCGTGTAAAATTAACTTTGTTTTTAGTCCTCTTTAGGCACTTGAAGTTCTTTCTGATTTGCGATTGGTGTATGCTAAAAAACAAAAGGAAAACACCCTTGTAATAACCTCTGGTCCTTTACTGAAATAACAAGGGAAAGCTAAAATAGTAAACCACCTCCCTATGATTGTGAGTGTCTCTGTCAGAAGAAATATTAAGATAATTATCAAATTTTAGATCACTTCGAATCTTGGCCTCTGGAGAAATTTTTCTGAGGCTTTGGTTCATGACTCTATTTCCATTTTTCCCCCTTAGTGCTTTTATTAGGCAGAAGTATGTGAATCTAGTGTATTTCTTAAGTAAATAATACTTAGCAAAGGAAAAATTCAGTTCTTGGGAGAGGCAGGCCCATTAAAGTCAGAAGGAAAACTCTCATCAGGAGGCCAGTGATAGAGTAGCTATTATAATGGTATGTCCTTAGGAAAGTATTTACAGAAATAATGTAGCATCTGGATTTCATTCAGAACATTACAAAGTGAGGTACATGATGTGTAGATGGCTTTACAATTGTTGAGGCTAGATGATGGATACGTAGGGGTTCATACTACTCTGCCTAGTTTTCTGTTCAACTTCCACATTAAAAAAAAAAAATGCGTTTTTAAAAAGTGGAAATGGATGAACCTTAAAAACATTCTAGGTGAAAAAAGCCAGACACAAAAGGCCACATATTGTATGATTCCATTTATATGAAATGCCTACCATAGATAAATTCATAGAGATAGGAAATAGATTGGTGGTTGCCAGGGGTTGAGTGAAGAGTACATAGGGAAGTTACTGCTAATAGCTATGAGATTTCTTTTTGGGATGATGAAAATATTCTGGAATTATATGATGGTGTTGGTTGCACAACTCTGACTATATTAAAAACGAGTGAACTGTATACTTTAAAAGGCTGAATTTTATGATATGTGAATTATATCACAGCAAAGGTAGATTAATACCAAAAAGGTAGTAAAGATCAAGGGTGGGCTACCTCTTTTGTAAATGCTTTTTATACAAGTTAAGTCAGGTTTAACTTGCACATGAAAGGTTCACATTTTCCTTCCTCAAAACCAAAATGACTTCCTAAACAGCTTCTTGGGTTAATGACATTTAACAATGTGAAAATCCCTCAATTAAAATTTCTTATGCTCTAATCTCAAAAAAAGTATGAAGTAAAGGCCTTCATACTTTGATTGTAGTTAGATTGTATATAGCTGACCTATGGTCTGTCAGACTTAAATATTTAGAGAGAAGATGTCCTCAGAGCATCAAGGAATAAAGAAATAAAGGCAACCTGGTATTTGAAATGTTAATTAAAGTATGTACAAATATAACTAACTAAAGTAATTTTTTACTTCTCAATTGGAGTAGACATATACAATATTATGTTAGTTTCAGGTACACAACATACTGATTAAATATTTATATAACTTATAAAGTTGTCACCCAGATTAGTTTAGTACCCATCTGACACCATACATAGTTATCACAATATTATTGACTGTATTTACTATGCTGTACATTACATCCCCATGACTGTTTTTATAGCTGGCAATTTGTACATCTTAATCCCTTCCACTTTTTTCACCTGTTCCCCCCATTCCATTCTCATCTGGAAACCGTTGAGATGTTCTTTGTATCTGTGAGTTTGCTTCTGTTTTGTTTGTTTATTTTGGTTTTTAGATTCTGCATATAAGTGAAATTATATGGTATCTGTCTTTCTCTGTTCGACTTATTTCACTTAGCATAATACCCTCTAGGTCCATCCGTGTTACTGCAAATGACAAGATTTCATTCATTGGCTGAGTAATATTGCATTGTATATATTTTATCCATTCATCTATCAATGGACACCTAGGTTACTTCCATTTTGGCTATTGTAAATAATGCTGCAATGGACATAGGGGTGCATATGTCTTTTCTAATTAGTATTTTGGATTTTTTCTAATACCCAGAAGTGAAATTGCTGGGTCATGTTGTAGTTCTGGTTTTAATTTTTTGAGGAACCTCCATACTATTTTCTGTAGTGGCTGTACCAATTTAGAATCTTACCAACAATCTTACCAACCAAAAAGGTTCCCTTTTCTCCACATGCCTGCCAGCACTTATTGTTTAGTGATTTATTGGTAATAGCCATTCTGCCATATCTCATTATGGTTTTAATTTGCATTTCCCTGATGGTTAGTGATATTGAGCATATTTTCATATGACTGTATGGCTATGTGTATGTCCCCTTTGGAGAAGTGTCTATTCAGGTCCTCTGTGCATTTTTTAATTGGATTGCTTTTAGTTTAAGGTTTTTTTGTTTGTTTGTTTGTTTGTTTTGGTGTTAAATTGTATGAATTTCTTATATATTTTGGGTATTAACCTTTAACAGATGTGTCACTGGCAATAGACTTCTCCCATTCAGTAGGTTGTCTTCATTTTGTTGATGGTTTCCTACATCATGCAACATCTCTTTAGTTTGATGTAGTTTCATTGGTTCGTTTTTTCTTTTGTTTTCCTTTCCCAAAGAGACATATCTAAAAAAATATTACTAAGAGCAGCATCAAAGAGTTCACTATCGTAAACTGTAGGTGTTTTATTGTTTCAGGTCTTACATTTAAGTCTTAAATCCATTTCAAGTTTTTTTCTTGTAAATTGTGTAAGAAAGTGATCCAGTTTCATTGTTTTGCATGTCTGTCTAGTTTTCCCACCATCTTTCTTGAAGAGACTGTCTTTAACTCATTGTATATTCTAAACTTCTTTATAATAGATTAATTGACCATATAGGTGTGAGTTTATTTCTGGGTTCTCTCTTCTGTTAACAATGTTAAAATCTATGTGTCTTTTTTTGTGCCAATACCATATACCCTTTTGATCACTATAGCCTTTAGTATAGTTTGATATCAAGTAGCCTGATACCTGCAACTTTGTTCTTCTTTCTCAAGATTGCTATAGCCACTTGGGGTTTTTTGTGGTACCATATAGTTTTAGGATTATTTGTTTCTAGTTCTGTGGAGAATGCCATTGATACTTTGATAGAGATTGCATTGAATCTGTAGATTGCTTTGGGTAGTATGGACATTTTAATGATGTTCATTCTTCCTATTCATGAGCATAGTATATTTTTCCATTTATTTGTATCTTCTTCAGTTTCTTTCTTCAACATCTTATAGTTTTCCAATTGCAAGTCTTTTACCTTTTGGTTAAATTTATTCATGGGCACTTTTTTGATGCCGTTGTAAATGGGATTGTTTCCTTAATTTCTCTTTCTGCTAGTACATTTTTGGTGGAAAAATGAAATCTGTTTCTGAATATTAATTTTGTACCTCCTACTAGTTTTCTGGTAGATTATTTATTGTTTTCTATATATAGCATCATGTCTTCTGAAAATAATGACAGTTTTACTTCTTCCTTACCAATTTGGATGCATTTTATTTCTTTTTCTTATTTAATTGTTGTTAGGACTTTTGATCCAATGTTGAGTGAAAGTGGTAGAAGTGGATATACTTGTCTTGTTCCTAATCTCAAGGAAAATGCTTTTAGCTTTTCACGGTTGAGTATAGTGTTAGCTATAGGTTTGTCATGTATGGACTTTATTATGTAGAAGTATATTTCCTCTATTCCTACTTTGCTGAGAGTTTTATTTTTGTCATAAATGGATGCTGGATTTTGTCAAATGCTTTTTCTGTATCTATTGCTATGATCATATGATTTTTATTCTTCATTTTGTTTATGTGCTATATCACATTAATTGATTTGCAAGTACAAAGCAAACTTGCATCCCATGAATAAATCCCACTTAATTATGGTGTATGATCTTTTTAATGTATTGCTGAATTTAGTGTGCTAATATTTTGTTGAAGATTTTTGCATCTATGTTCTTCAGGGATATTGGCCAATAATTTTCTGGGTGTTTTTTTTTTTTTTTTTTGTAGTATCATTGTCTGGTTTTGGAATCAGGGTAATGCTGGCCTCATAAAAATGAGCCATCCCTGCTCTTCAGTTTTTTGGAATAGTTTGAGAAAGATAGGTGTTAATTCTTTGAAAATTTGGTAAAATTCATCTATAGCCATCTGGTCCAGGACTTTTGTTTATAGGGAGATTTTTCGATCACTGATTCAATTTTGTTAGTAGTTATCGGTCTGTCAGATTTTTTTCTTCTTGGTTTGGTCTTGGAGATCATATGTTTGTAGGAATTTATCCATTTCTTCCAGGTTGTCCAATGTGTTGGCATATGATTGTTCATATTATTTTCTTATAATCCTTTGTATTTCACTGGTGTCACTTGTCACTTCTCTTTTATTTATGATTTTATTATTTGGATGCTTTTTCTTGATGAGTCTGGCTAAAAGTTTGCTAATTTTATATTTTCAAAGGACTAGCTCTTGGTTTTATTGATCTTTTGTATGTTTTTTAGACTATTTCTACTCTGATATTTATTATTGCCTCCGTTCTACTTACTTTGAGCTTTGTTTATTCTTCTTTTTCTAGTTCTTTGGTTGTAAGATTAGGCTATTTGTTTGAGATTTTTCTTGTTTTCTGAGGTTGGCCTGTATTGCTATGAGTTTCCCTCCTAAGACTGCTTTAGCTGCATCCCGTAGTTTTGGTGCCATTGTGTTTTCGTTATCATTTGTCTCAGTGTATCTTTTGACTTCTTCCTTGATGTCCTTGTTAACTCATTTATTGTTTAGTAGCATGTTATTGAGTGTCTATGTGTTTGTCTGTTTGTTTGTTTTTTTTAGTTTTCTTTTTGTAATTGTTTGCTGGTTTTATACCATTGCGATCAAAGAAGATGCTTG